CTCATGAAGGAGAAAAGGTGAAAAAGACTGAACCTCATTTCTTATGAAATTACCCATCCTCAAGTATTTCTTTATAGCCACACAAACGGACTAGGATAGGAATATTGTAATTTTAAACAGAATAGCGAGAGAGAGACTCTCTGAAGTGAGCATGTGGGTCCTCACAGAAGGGCCCACTGGGCTTAAGCTGAGCAAGGGGAGAGAGTCAGGAGATGAGCTCAAAGAAGTGAGAGGACTGTGTAGGACTCTAGTTTCTCCTTTCAATGAGATGAGCACAGACTAGAGGGTTGTGTTCAGAGGTGTGGTAAGATTTGCATTTTTTTTTCTTTTTGTGGCAGGGTCTCACTCTGCTGCCCAGGCTGGAGTGCAGTGGCATGATCATAGCTTACTGCAGCCTCAAAAGTGGATGCTTCTGCCTCTGTCTCCTAAGTAGCTAGGACTACAAGTTGGTGCCATTACACCTGTCTGTTTTTAATTTTTTTTGTAGATCAGGTGTTACCATGTAGCTAAGGCTGGTCTAAACTCCTGGCCTCAAGTGATGCTTCAGACTTGGTCTCCCAAAGTTCTGGCTATATAGGTGTGAGCTACCTTCCCTCCTGGACTGCTTTGCACTTTAAAAGGACCAGTATGGCAGTTGCCTTGAGAACAAACTGGATGGGGAGAAAGTGGAGGAGATTACAGTGGATTGAACTAGCAATGCTGGAGGTGATGAGAAGTGATCAAATCTGGATATATTTTGAAGGCAAAGCAGGGTTTATAGGTGCATTGAAAGTGGATTCTGAAAGGAGGGATTCTGCCTGAGTAATTTTAAGGATGAAGTTGCCAGTGATGGAGCCAGGGAAGGCCATGGTGGAGCACGTTGGTGAGAACTCAAGAATTCAGTTCTGGGGCAGCACCTGTGGCTCAGTGTCTAGGGCACCGGCTCCATATACTGAGGGTGGCAGGTTTGAACCTGGCCCTGGCCAAACTGCAACAACAAAAAATAGCCGGGCATTGTGGCGGGTGCCTGTAGTCCAAGCTACTCAGGAGGCTGAGACAAGAGAATCACTTAAGCCCAAGCAAGGGCTGGAGGTTGCTGTGAGCTGTGACACCACAGCATTCTACCAAGGGCAACAAAGTGAGACTCTGTCTCTAAAAAGAATTCCTTTCTGGACATGCTGAGTGTGAGATGTCTCCAAGTGATCCAAGTTGAGATGTCAAGTAGTTGTCGGATATGAGTCTGAAGCTCAGGGGAAAGCTCTCAGCCTTGACTCTAGGTCTGGAAGTCCTTGCTCAGGGTAAAGATGGTACTTAAAGCCTTGAGATGGAAAGAGATGAACAGGGAGTGTAGTCAAAGAAGAGAGACCCTAAAACTGAGTCTTGGGACAATTCAGGGAATGGAGAATTATGAAGATATGGCCAGTGTGGAGTGGAGGAGAGAGAAGAAAGTGAAGGAAGAAGGGTGCAATGGGGGAGTTATAATATTAGTAAATGGGGCTGTGTGTGTTCATCAGATCATAATCACAATTCAGCTAGGGCAGTGACCAAGGAGGCTGCCTTCCCCCAGCACCGTTTCTGTCTGCGTACTTCTAGCTGTGCGTGCTCAGAGTGGTCTGGGGAGGGGCAGGGCAGGGCCTTCAGTGCTCATTCCACACTGCAGCACTCCCTTTCATCAACCGTCCAACCTGCTAGAAGTATGGCCACTCACAAGTGCCTGCTGAGCGTGTGTGCATGTGCCAGGCCCTGGTCTAGTCACTGGGAGGAACAAGCCAGAGAAGGCTCATACGCTAATGAGGGTGGGTCAGACAATAAATAACCAACAAATAGATAAACAAGGCAATTTCTAACAGGTTGAGTGGCAAGAGTGACCTCCGTTGGTTAAAGTGATCATTAAGATTCTCTTTGAGATCAAGTGGCTAAGGTGCCAGCCACATACACCTAAGGTGGCGAGTTCAAATCCAACCCGGGCCCGCCAAAACAACTATGACGGCTGCAACCAAAAAATAGCTGGGCGCTGTGGCAGGTGCCTGTAGTCCCAGCTACTTGGGAGGCTGAGGCAGGAGACTCGCTTGAGCCCAGGAGTTGGAGGTTGCTGTGAGCTGTGATGCCACGGCACTCTACCCGCGGGGATAGCTTGAGGCTCTGTCTAAAAATAAATAAATAAATAAATAAGATCCTCTTTGAGTAGGTGGCTCTTTTTTTTTTTTTTTTTTTTGAGACAGAGCCTCAAGCTGTCCCCCTGGGCAGAGTTCCGTGGCATTACAGCTCACAGCAACCTCCAACTCCTGGGCTCAAGCGAGTCTCCTGCCTCCGCCTCCCAAGTAGCTGGGACCACGGGCGCCCGCCACAACGCCCAGCTATTTTTTGGTTGCAGCCGTCATTGTTGTTTGGCGGGTCTGGGCTGGGGATTCGAACCCGCCACCTTAGGTGTACGTGGCTGGTGCCTTAGCCGGTTGAGCTATAGGCGCCGAGCCGAGTAGGTGGCTCTTGAGCTGAGACCTGAATGATGAAAAGATGATTAGAAGATCTGGGGGAATATGGTTCTCACTGGAAGGAAAGCTTGCAGTGAAGGGGAAGAGAACCTGGTCAGCCTGGCTCCAGCTAGTCTGGGAGGGGAGGCAGAGCCACCACTCACAGGAGCTTGTTGGCCATGGTTGGGAATCTGGGTTCCATTCCAAGTGTGATGGGGAAGGCTTTGGCAGGTTTAAGCCAGAGGGGCTTGATCTGATTTACATTTCACAAATGTCACAGGGTTGGTCAGATGTACAATGGACTGTAGGGGGCAGAGTGGAGGCAGAGAAAAGAGGCTATCCTAGCTCTGGCCAGATGGCCTCTTAGCATAGGAGGGACCAGGATGCACCCTGGGGGCAGTCACATAATTTGGGCACTTCTTTGGGTCAAAGCCTGTACAAGGCAAACAAGGGCTGCTCATCTAAGACACGTTTGGGAGGCACAGTCCTTGTCCTCAGCTTATTTACTGTTTTCTTATAGGAAACTCAGACCACACAGTTAAAGGTGCCACATGAAATGAGTGCTCAAGGGGGAACCAGAAAAGGGGCAATTGGGGTACCTCTGGAAGTGATGACTTTAGAGCCTTCTTTAGGTAGAAGGGGCTTTCCATTTTCCAGCAGGAGGTAGAAGGTCTGGAATGTGCTCCCCCAACCCGGCTCAGAGCCCCATGTGGCTACCTGAGCTACATGGTCTAAGAACCTGGCTCCAGGCTCCATTTTCCCAGCTCATTGGGATCTGAGAAGTGGGTGAGTCAGGGGAGGTTCCTCCCAGAACGCTGTGTTCTGTGCCCAGAGTGACTCAGTACCTCATTCCCTCCCTCACGAGTGACCGCAGGGCCAATGCCTTAATGAGACTACACCTCACTCTTCTCATTTGGCTGGGACAATTGCCTGGTGGAGTTTTTGGCTCCCTGGGGGCAGGGCTCGTGTATGCAACTGTCCAGGTTTCTTGAGAGACAGTTAGTGTCCAGAGGCGCATAAAACCCTAAGGTCGATCCAAGGCCCCAGGCCCTCCCCGTGCATGGAAAGGGGGTTTAACGCCCATGCCTGTGCCCTCTAATTGCAGAGCCATTCACCTGCATTTTGTACGGAATACAGTTTAGCAAGCACTGATGTCTTGGAGGGTTTTCTTTTCTTTGGGACACCTACTTACTGTAAAAACTTGTTTAGGAAAAAATAAAAGCAACCACAGTAGGCCTTCAAAGTCAGTACAGAAGCTTTTGAGAGAGATAGCAAGCACAGAACTCCTTTTCTGGGGGGTCCTGAGCAGTTGCACGCCGGGGCTCCAGGGGCCACGACTGGGTGTTCTGCTCTCCTCGAGCAACCTAAAGCCTGCTCGGCTGCCCCCACAGAGCCAGCGGGCCGAGCATTAGTCCGGGTGGTGGGCTGCCGGGTGCTGGCTCTGGTCGCCGGGACGCGGGTTGCGCCTCCGCGCCGGGTACCTCCAGCGCACCGGGTCGCAGCTGCGCGACTCCGTTAGCTCCCCTGCATTAGCCCCGCAAACCCGTGTGGCGTTTGCGATTCCTGCCGCCTGGTTTCGCCACCTGGTTGGGACTCGGCAGGTGGACCAGGGAGGGCGCACTTTTATCCCTGCCGCGGACTCTCCCGGGGACCCTCCCCCGAGCCCTGGCGCGCCTCCGCGCCCCGCCCCGAGCCGGCAGCCAGCGCCCCCGAGTTACCTGCCCCTGGAAGTCACAGTCCTCAGCCCGGACTCTAACAGGGTGGATCCGGCGGAGCCCGCATTCCTAGGGGAGGGGTCCCCACCTAGAGGGTCGCGGATCAAGTTACCCGGCGAGAGGAGGAGGCAGCTGGAGGCCGAGTAAACAAGGGTAAAAAGTTGCATTTGGCTTTTTTTCCCCTTCCTTTCTTTTTAAAAAAATAATCGTGCTTCGACGCTAGTTGACTCGGGGACACGGCGTCGGCCCAGTTCCCGGGGCCCGACGGCCCCGGAGCGCTGTGCCAGGGCAGAGGCACCTTTCTGTCCCTGCATGCGGGAGTGGTGGGCAGGGCGGCTGGGCTTGCGGTGCCCCGCGCCGGCCGACGGCGACACCGGGCTGCTCCGGCGCGGGAAGCCGCAGGAGCCCGCCTCGGTGCATCGGGATCTGGAGCAACAACATTCACATCCATGCGCATAAATAAATCAATGAGCAGCTCTCCGCTGCCAGCGGCAGGGAAACCTCGGACTGATTAAACGCAGACGTGGGGTGCTTGCCAGGGCAGGAGGGCGGCGGGGCAAAAGGAACCGGCGTGGAGGCCGGCGGGAGGGGGAAGGGAAGCCGGGGCCAGGAGAAAAAGGGAAAAACCCAAAGCCACATTTAAAAAGCAGGGTTGGATTTTAAATGCCAACAGCCGGGAGGAGGGAAGGGGGCCCGGCCGTGGGCGCCGGGGCCGGCGGGCCACCCGGGGCAACTTTCCGGGCGGGAGGCGCGGCCGGAGGGGGCGGCGCCGGCGGCGGGAGGCGGGAGTCGGGGACCGAGGGGGAGTCACTTTAAAGGCTCTTTCTTACCCATAATGCTTTGTGGGGACGTTGACAAGTGGATCCAAGATGGCGTAGAAAGTAATGACAGGTAAGTCCTGACTTCCCCCTCCTCTGCTGCTGGGGCCGCTCCGCGAGGTGCCGGAGCCCTTCGGGGAGGGGACCCGACTCCCCTCCGGTATCCCGGGTTCCGAGCAGGGCGGCCTCGGGGCGGGCTGGGGTCCCGGGCGGCCCGCGGCGGGGCCTCGGAAGCGGGTGCTCTTCGAGGCGAGGCCCGGACGCTGGGGCTGTTTACAGCTTCTTCCCCTCGTCGGTCCCCTTCCCCTCCGCAGGGGGCCGCAGCGCCCTGGGCCCAGGCCGTGGAGGGGGCCTTGCAGGCCGGGGCCGAGAGCCTGCGGGAGATTTCTTCAGCCTTGTGTGCTCTAGGAGGGGAAGTCGAGCCTCGGTGCACGATCCCCTCCTCCGGGTCGCGGCTGGGGGTGGGGAGCATGCGGGCCTCCCACGCCCCGCTCGATTCCCCCTTCGGGACTGGGACTTCCAGCGCTTGGGGCGGGGGCCAGCGGGTGGGCTTCGGGAAAAGTGGGTCAGGGGTGCGCCCCCTCCCTCCCCCGCTGAGGGCACTCCGCTAAGATTCACTTTCTTCCCCCCTTTCCCCGCCCCCTCCTCGGAAATGCTCTTTGGCCCACAAGCACATCAACAAAAATACGGACAGACAATCTCTTCCTGGAGATTCCTTTAGGGTCCCCTTTTCAAGGGCTCGGAGACTACATTCTTATGTAGAGAACTTTGATTCCTCTCCTCCAAATTATTTGAGCTCTCTGCACCCTTACCTTTGCCGAAGATCCTTCAGACAGGGTTGGAAACCAGAGTTTTCTGATTCTTCTTAGATTGGGATCTTCACGTTTTGTTTGCAACTCAAAAATTGTTCTCCCTCCCAACTTACACTTTTCATGCAAACCATTAATGTAATAAAAAGTCTAACTCCAGAGACAGTGGATTCCTGGAGTGGGGTAAGGAGGGAGCTGTTCTTAATTTTGCCCTCTCTTAAACTCATGTTAATGAGGTCCTTCATTTCTTTGTCTTTCTTTTTTTTGAAAGTAAGGTCAGTCAGGGTTGAAAAAGATGACTTTGTTTATTTATTTTTTGGGACAGAGTCTCACTTTGTCACCTTCGGTAGAGTGCCCAGGCTTTACAGCTCACAGCAACCTCAAACTCTGGGACACAAGCGATTCTCTTGCCTCAGCCTCCCAAGAAGCTGAGACCACAGGTGCCTGCCACAAAGCCCCGCTGTTTTTTGGGGGGGGGGGGTGTCTGGTTCTTGCTCAGGCTGGTCTCCAACTCATAAACTCAGGCGAGCCACGCTCCTTGGCCTCCCAAAGTGCTAGGATTACAGGCGTGAGCCACCTCTCCTTGGCCCCAAAGATGACTATTATGTTTTTGATTTTAAGAGCATTTTTTTTTTCTATTTTAAAGTAAAAGAAATAGACATTTGCAATGCTGCACACTGTACCCTTTTGGTAACTTTTCCCATTTGAAATTTAGCTGCCCTTTCACTTCAGGTTGATAAAGTGTTTGCTACTGATAAAGTCTATTACTGGTATTGTATAGACACATCTTACTTTTCTATTTGCCTCAGGAATTGGATGAAGTAATTGATCACTAATGAACTACAGTGCTGGTGAGATGTGTAAGGTGAGACTGCAGTTAAAAATGATTTCCCTTTCTTCATTTATTTTAATCAACTTAAAGGGTGAGGCTGAAACTAATTCGATGGGACCATCTTTATTTTCCGAATATATCAGTCAAATGGGAATGGGTATGGGCAGGGGCAGGGCTGGGTTTAGAAAGGGAAAATATGTCCAGTGTACCAATCTTTCTAGTGGCTCCAACACACTCAGAATAGTGGAACTTATCCAGAGAATGTTATTTGCAGCTATTCTTGATCATTATCTTCACCAGGAGTAATTATAGTTTTCCTATTCAAATTTCCTTGTGTAACTTTAATTGGACGTCTTCATTTTGCCTGTGTTTGGGTTCCAATCACTTACTCCACATTTAGTATTAGTGTGTGTGGATTTTGTGTGTCCATAGTTTGTGGTACTTGTGTAAAGTACACCCTTTCCATCGGAAATAATCATTTTAGGCAAATGACTTGCTCCTGCTTTTATTTTCTGAAAAATGGCATAATATTTGTCTCTGATAATAACTTATTTTGAAATAAAACTGAGGGTGGTGAGTTCTGTTTAGCTTATTAGGGATGAGACTAGCTTGCCATTTCTTTTTGTTTGATCACAGGTGGTGTGTGAATTGAAAGCATTCTGTTTAATTGGTACTGCTTTGGATTTAAAAGATATTATTGATACGTTTGTGAATAGTTAGTATTCTATGGTAGAGAGAGGGAGGAAAGTTTGCTAATTTTGCATTTTTTTACAAGCACTTCTCTCAACCTTAAACATATTTTACTGTGATTTCTTTGTATGTAAAATGTAAGTAATAATGGCTAATTAGTTGGTTACTACAGGGTTTTTCCCCCCCTTTAACACCCGTTTGCCTCTGGATTTTGAAATCCTCTCCCAAGCTTTTCATATCTGTCACGACATCTGTCTAAGAAGAATGAGCTGTACTTTATTTTTTTCCTAGGTTGAGGCATGTAATTGACATTTTGCCTTAAAAACAAACAAACAAACAAAAATACCCCAAAAACTTGGGAAAGGAAGGTGGACATAAACCAAAATTCTTTTGTAAGTGCACAGACCACATTTGCTGTGTTTGAGACTGAGCAGTGCTTATGTGTATTACATATAATTGTTATTTTTATTTTTGGCAGGGCAAATGTGGATTTAAAAATTTATTTTCCGTTTGCAAGTGGAGGCATATTCATGCCTGAGACCTCCTAATTTGAACTTTTTATTTTTTGAAAACTATGGATAGCTTTGTGAAGAGGAATCAGTGATTTTTTTTTTTTTGCAGTTTTTGGCCAGGGCTGGGTTTAAACCTGCCACCTCGAGCATATGCGGCTGGCACCCTACTCCTTTGAGCCACAGGTGCCCAGTGATCTTTTTTTTGCTGATGGAGATATTCGTTTATAGTCTAAAATTGAATATTAAGTAGGTAATTTTTATTTATTTATTTATTTTTTTTGCGACAGAGTCTCACTTTGTCACCTTTTGGTAGAGTGCCATGGCATCATAGCTTACAGCAACCTCAAATTCTTGGACTCAGGTGATACTCTTGCCTCAGTTTTTCATTTATTAGTAGAGACAGGGTCTCATTCTTGCTAGGCTGGTCTCAAACTCGTGAGCTCAAGAGATCTGGCCACTTTGGCCTCCTAGAGTACTAGGATTACAGGTATGAGCCACCATGCCCAACTTAGAAGTAAGTAATCTTTTTTTTTTTTTAAATTTTTTGAGACAGAGTCTCACTATGTCACCCTCGGTGGAGTGCTGTGGCGTCCCAGCTCACAGCAACCTCCAACTCTTAGGCTTAAGCAGTTCTCTTGCTTCAACCTCCAAAGTAGCTGGGAGTATAGGCGCTTGCCACAGTGCCTGACTATTTTTTTGTTGCAGTTGTTGTTGTTTAGCAGGCCCGGGCCGGGTTCGAACCTGCCTGCCTCAGTGTATGTGGCTGGTGCCTAACCACTGAGCTACAGGTGCCCAGCCAGAAGTATGTAATCTTATATGACTAGTGTTGTTTGGTCTGAATTGTGTTAAGACATTTTCCACAGTTTTGGCTCGGCGCCTATAGCTCAACCGGTTAAGGCGCCAGCCACGTACACCTAAGGTGGCGGGTTCGAATCCCCAGCCCGTACCCGCCAAACAACAATGACGGCTGCAACCAAAAAATAGCCAGGCGTTGTGGTGGGCGCCTGTGGTCCCAGCTACTTGGGAGGCGGAGGCAGGAGACTCG